CGCGCCAGGCAGATCGCCTGGGGAAGAGCCATCAACAAGTCTTAGTACCAGCCAAGTGGATTAGCAGGCCAGACGCTGAAATTTAAAATCAATTCTTATCCTTTCTTGACCTAGTTCTGGTCAAAGGTATCACTCTTTGGCCTGGGATGTGAGCTGCTCTATGAGAAGTTGGCTTCAGCAGACTCAAACAGGCTAGTCGTGTTACCAGCAGGGATTAAGAAAAGCCCATTAGCCAGTGATGAGAGTTGGATAATAAGAAAACCCTACAGACACCATCGCCCAAGACTGACCAAATAAGGGTCAGTAAAATCAAGTATGTGTGCGTCATTCCTCAGTTAGTCCACCTGAAGGATAGGAGGGGCAACTGAATTCTGGAGGGAAAGCTTTGGGGTTTGATCAGAGCGCTAAAAATGAGCGTTTCTGAGGGTTAGGGAGATCAGAAAGCTGTATCCATGCTGCCTCACTTCCCATGTAGCACTGCCTCTGTTGTATGATGTGTGAAAGAAAATCTAGAGCTACTTTTTTTCTCTTTAAAAATGAAAACACTCCATTTCCTAGATTCATAGTGATGCATTATATAGAAACCAGGGATTTCCAGCAGTCTTCATAATGTTCAGTTTTTCCAAAATAAATTTTATTCCAAGCCAATAAACCATCTCTAGTCTCTTATCATATAAGTAAAAGGCGACTAGGGGTGTGGAATATCTGGGAGCATGGACCAGCACTTCTAAACAGGTGCCAGGGCAATGGAAGAGCCACAGGCAGGGGGCTTTACACAAAGGGAGAGCCTTAAATCACAAATAAGCGTGAGCACTGTGGTTCACGCCTATAAACCTAGCACCCTGGGAGGCCAAGGCAGGAGGATTGCTTGAGGCCAGGAGTTCGAGACCAGCCTGAGCAAGAGCAAGACCTGTTCTCTACAAAAAATAAGAAAATTAGCCAGGCGTGGTGGTGAGTGCCTGTAGTCCTAGCTACTCGGGAGGCTGAGGCAGGAGGATAGCTTGAGTCCAGGAGTTTGAGGCTTCAGTGAGCTATGATGATGCCACTGTGCTCCAGCCTGGGTGACACAGTTAGGTCCTGTAGAAAAAAGAAAGAAAAGAAAGAAAGAAGGCAGGAAAGAAGGAAAGGAAGGAAGGAAGGAAGGGAGGGAAGGAGGGAGGAATGTAGGGAGGGAGAAAAGAGTAAAGGAAGAGAGAGAGAGAAAGAAAGAGAAACAAAGAAAGGGGAGAGTAAATGCTTGAACTGGGTATAATGAAGGGAATGATTCACAAGGGTTTCTGACAAGTTGTCTGGGCAAAAGATGAGGCCTCGCCAGAGTGCCCTTGGAGCAGTCTGTCCATCATGTCCTTGAAAGAGAAGGCTAATGTTTCCAGTCTCCACCCGCCAGGTTTAAGTCACGTGCGTGTTACCTTTCCTTTGTAGGAGCTGAGCATGGACAGATCTGTTACTACAGCTTCTGAACAGGAGGATGGAATCTGCTAATCACAGATGAAGGCTCAACTCAGAGACACTTGGAACATTAAAATAGGAGGTAAGAAAATCACTTCAAAGTGAATTCTATCACGGTCGAATATGAGCATCAAGAGCACAGTTGTTGATCAGAAGCCTCCCAAAAAAGGAAGTTCTGATGTGTAGCTGAACCAGAAGTCTCATCTACAGCAGCAGCTTGTTTGCAGGCACCTCTCCTCTCCTTTTTCTTACCTGGGTTTTGGAGAGGAAATGGCTTCAGCAGATACCAGTTAAGCTCACTGGTTCATTTAAAAGGATGAATTATTGAGGAACATGTGTGTAGATGCTACCATGACATGATGTTCAGACAGAATGGAGTCACCCTAAGACAGAGCAAAATCTTAATGAATTTTTATATGTTCACAGAACTGGGTAACTACCTACTGTAAGAGACAGAACAATCCAGTGCCAATGACCGTACTATGCCTCTGTGCAATTAGTATGCCCCAGAAGTAAGCCCCATTCTGACATTTACCACCAATGATAAGGCTGTCAAATTCTTGGACTCCATTTAAATGGAATCACGTGATATATACTCTTGTGCCTGGCTTCTTGTGCTCTGTATATTTGTAAAAATCACCCATGCTTCTGCATGCATCAACAGTTAGTGCTTTTTTGCTACTGTATAGTAATCCACTATGTGAAAAAAACAAGGAATTCTTATCCATTCTACTGCTGATAGGTATTTGGGTTATTTCCAGTTTGGAACTGATATAGACTATCCCTTTATGAATATTGTTGAACATCTTTGACATATATCTTCTTGGATTTTTTAATGTTGACATCAAGACTTCAAACTTACTATATTAGACAGCTGGAATTATAGCAATTCTCCATATAACACCTGCACACTTCCAAAAACAGGGCAAAAGAAGAGAGACTTGGATATTTTTCTTAGACAGCTGTCTCGTACTTTCTAATATTTTTGTTCCTTAGGTGCCTCTGCTTTTAGGAAATTCCATTTGAAAAGTAACTGTTTTCCCCTTTGCAAGTCCATCTTTTTCAGCAAATCTAAAGCAAAATGTATGTTTTAAAAAATTTATACCTCATTGATTCCTAAAATGAATCTACTCTCTATCAAATTTCACTTTTTTTCTGAGGAAGCTGAACACAATGACTCATTCTAGATCTTAAAAATATGCATATGCCCCAACTATAAAAAAAAAAGAAAAGAAAGAAATGCAACAAGGATCTATGGGGAAGAAGATGGCTGAGTCTCCCTTCATCCCCAGTCCCTAGCACAATGCTTGCTTTAATGATTGTGGTATCATAACATACCAACTTCACCCATGTAGAATATCTATGTGTAGACAAAGGTATGGTGAAACAAGTTTTCATCAATATTTTGATTTATGATACTGAAGACTTGAACTTAAGTAGTATCATAGGTAAGTGGTTCCTTATTTCAAAAAAAGGAAGAGAACTAATGATTTTAATAGACTTAACAATATATATTGACTTAACAATAGACTTAACAATATATATATAACCGTATATCTACTAGACAAATGAACAACTCAAAGCAGTCCTGATGATGCTACGAAGTTCAATTAAACTCTCCTCTTCATATAAGTGGATTTTCGAACCTGCCAACTACAGCTTTTCATTTTCTTCTTACAGTTACACATCATGCGGATCTCAAATAACAATGTCCTTAGAGCTATTTTCTTGCCAGCTCACAGTGCCACCTGTGGCTGAGCTCTGCCTTGCTGTGCACGCATTTAAGCTTATATGTTTTCACTCATGGCCCCTAAAACTTTGGCTTTCTGTTATCACCAGCACAATTTCCATGTTTCCTGGCAGCTTTGTTTACAGTGACATGTTTAAAAGATGGAAGGTAGATTCCAATTTTATGGATGTGCAATAAAGGGAGATTTACAGAAAGTTCTGCAGAACACTAGGAGAATTACTAGAGCCCACAGTCACAATAGTACATTCAGGGTGGGAACAAGGAAATGGACTGAAAAGCAGTCTTGGGGGATCTGAGCTCCAAAGGACAATAAGAAGGGTGGGGTGGGCAAAATTTGGACCCACAGGCTCAGAACTCCCTTACTGGGCATATCTGTATCCCCAGTGATGGTGAAGTTATATCTCAAAGGACACTGGGAGGTAAGAGTGAAATAAAGGACATTTTATAATGTTTTTCTTCTGGAATGTCTGGACACTTTGCCCCAAGCATCTACATATAAATAAAGCATTTCTTATAAAGCCATTTACAAAGAACAAACACTATGTAAAGTGTAGTGCTAGGCTCAGTTCAGCTCAATGAACAAGTACAGAGCCATATCTTGGCCCCAGGCTCAGGGCTAGTACTAGGTGCAGGGACTCAGGGATGCACAGGCAGAGGTGTGAGCCCACTGACGTGTCTGCTGAGGTGGGTGGGTGGGTGAAAGGACTTCCACTTGTCCTCCTAATTCATTCTCCAAAGCCTGCAACCATCCTCAGGTCCACCATTTCTTTGTCCTTTCCTGAGAAATAAACGAATAAATGTGGCTACTCACGAGTACGTTCTAGGAGAAGATTCAAGGGGCCAGGACACATGTGGCCATCTGGCTGCTTAGTCCCAGGCCCAGGCCCCAGGGTCTGCCAGGCATCAGGAAGGCCCCTGGGCCTGCTGCTCTCAGCTCAGAAGATGTAAAACACTTTGCTGGATGGGGTTGTTGGCGGCGGGGGCGGTGGGGGGGGGATAGTTCGTTGAGCATCCTAGATCTTTTCCTCCCTAAGTGAACTTAGTTTGGCCCCAAACAAACTCAGCATATATCCTGTGGCATCTGCAGGTGCCTGGTGTGTGTGTGTGTGTGTGTGTGTGTGTGTGTGTGTGTGTGTATGTGCACTCCTAACTAGGAGTGACAGTGGCGCCTGCTCTGGAGTGTCCCTAAATGTTAGCATGCAACAGAACAGGTAGGTTCTCCCACTTCTATCCTCAGGCCACTCACAGCTGCTCTGCTTTCCTGGCCCCATTTGGAGGGGCCAACTCCAGGTTGGCCCCAGCACTGAAAGGAGCCCCTGACCCCTGGCCTCTACAAACCAGCAACCCAAAGATGAGGGGCAGGCGCCTAGGATACCTCCACCCTCGCGTCTGTTTTTCAAAGCCCCGCAGGGCTGAGCTGGCTGGCATAGCAGGCAGCCATCGAGTGGGGTCCCAGGCGACCCCCATCCCAGGAGAAAACACGGGATCCCCCTCCTGCCAGCTGCTCCAGAGGGGCCTCCAGAGTAGACTCAACAAGTTCCTGGGCTGCGCAGCGCCGCCTGCAGCCCAGAAAACCCGAGGACGCGCCGCGGTGGAGCCCCGCGCGCAGGCGGCAACCGGCGGCAGTTCCTTCCACCTCCTCCTCCTCAGGCTCCGGCTCCGGCTCCGGCTCCGGCGTCGGCGGGAGGAGGCTCCTCCACTCCCTCCAGATCCCCCACCCCACGCACGCGGCCCGGCCAGGCCCGGCCCCGCACCGCCCACGCGGCCCCCCCCCGTGGGGCCCGGGGCTCCGCCCGCCTCAGTGCCGGCCGGGCGCACAGGCGGCAGGCGCGCGGCTCGGGGCACCCTCTCCTCTGGCCGCCCGGCTTGGCGGAGTATCTGGGACCCGGGAGCGGCTGCAAGGACTTCCCTCCTGCTCCCTCCCTCGCCCCGCCCCCGCCTCTCGGCCCCGGCGCGGAGATCTCGCCTAAGACAATTGCAGTAAATGAGGACATCGGAGGAGCACGAAGCCGGGTGGCTGTGGCTGGCTCCGCCGCGCCGCGAGCGAGCGATCGCGCGGGCGTCCCCGGAGCCGGCCGAGCCGCTGCTTCCCCGCACGCGTTGCTGAGCCGGGCCGGAGGAACGCGATCTGCGGCGCGGGGGCCGGCCGGGCTGGGCCGGCGGCGGTGGAGGGTGGGGGGGCGGTGGGCGCGCAGCCGGCCAAGTCACCGGAGCTGAGCCTTCCTCCGCGCGAGCCCGGCAAGTCTTGCCGCGGATGCTCCTCCCGGAGTGCTCCGTGCCGCGCCAGGCTCGCCAGGGTCCGCGACGAGACATGCCCGAGCCAGGTGCTGCTGCACCGACCTCGACTTATCTATAAGCAGCGGAAGGTAAGCGGAGCCCTCGTGCCCTCCTCCAGCACCCCGGCGCCCGCTGCACTTGGCCGCAGGCAGAGCACCGCCCAGACGGGCACCGACCCCGGCTCGGGGGCACGCACTCAACCCCAAAGCAGCTTCCCTAGCTTCAATGGGACTCGGCGGCGCCCGGGGCCAGGACACACCGGTGCAGCCGAGAGCAGACGCCGCGGCTGGCGGCGGGGACGGGGGCGGGGGCGGGGGTCGAGGTTATGCAACCACATCTGGCACGGCCAGGTCACTAAGGGGCGTCTGGCAACTTTGGCGACGGCCGGGAGGAGCGGGGCTGCGGGTCTGTGATGTCGGTTCTAGACAAACGCCACAGCTTCGCAAGCGCCCGACAGCCTTAGCCAGGCAGAACTGGGGGATCTGGGGGCGGTCGTCTCCCCGGAACGTTTCGAGGCTTTTAAGTATTTTCCAAACTAAAGCGAACTGGAAAGTAGGGCTCATTAACTTCAGGTGGGGGTAAGTTGGAGCAGAGGGGCCCTGATGCCAGCTACTAAGGAGAGGCGCGAGCAAATGCCCACGTGAAATGCCCGTCGCCTCTGCTCACTCGGGCTGGCACCTTCCTGGGGCTGCGGGCTGGGGTCGGCGCCTGCGGGGGCTCTTGGATGCCTCGCATCCCACGTCAGCCTGGGACAGGCGTGGGAAACCAAGTGATGCTGCAGACCTAGTGAGTGGGTGAGCTAGCAGAGGGCAGGAACTAAGAGGGAGCCCCCGCGGGTTAGCCAGGGGCTGGGGCAGTGCCTTGAGTCCAAAGTAAAGAGAGAGAGTCTGTGTCTTGCTGGTTCATGCTCAGGGTTCCAGGCTGGCCTCTCCACTGCTTGGATAAAGAGCCTCTCCCTTTGACCTCAGCAACTACTACCCAAAAATATGCCACGGGGAGATGGAGCCAGCGATAAAGGGATGCCAGGAGTGGGGGAGGAGAGCAGCCTCTGGAGTAAACAGGGGAGAAAATGGGTACGTTTTGCTCATCTACAAAGCAGAGCTCCTGCCCTGACCCCTCTCCTGCTGCCAGCCTGTGGCTGGGGGGCGCTGGACGCCCTCCTGGGCCCTCAAGGGAGAAGCAGCAGTGAAGCAGTTTAATTTGACCTTGTCTGCTTTGCCGCTTAAATTCTGCGGAAGCATCCCGAGGTGAAACTGCAAGAGTAGAAAGGAACTTTGGACAAGCCCTGCCTTGGCTAGGAATCCAAATGATCATTTCAAAAGACTACAGCTCAGGCTAGCACAGAGTCCAGATTCAGGGGCCCAGGTTCAGGCACTTGAAGGTTTTCCCCTGAACAAGGACTTGCTGGGGGAGTTACCTTTCCATATCCCAGTGGGGGGAAGTGTCAAGGTTACAGCGCTGGGCACTTGATTTAAAAATACCACCCAAATCACAAGACCCAGGCCATTCCCCATGAGTAGAAGAACATATATGAAAATGATACAACCCTTAGTAAGCTTATGCTACAGATTGTGGAGAAAGTAATAATCATTTCACTATGCAGAAGTGGGAAGTGCTGGATTTTACTACATATTATGCTATTTATTACATTCATATCCTGTTGAATGTTACTTTTCAAAGTTTATATTTATCTTTGCAATTTTTTGCAAGAATGATTGGCAAACACGCTCACAGGAAAAATGTTAGTCCTGCCATCTGCATGCCTCACCAGATATTGATAATTTACTATACATGTTTACTACTTACATTAGATGGCACTGCTCCTCACCATGTTTTTATTAGAGGCGCATGTGGGGGGGAAAAATGTCTAGCACAGCTATCACTAATTGCATGATTTTGCATAAATTACGTTAGCTACAGAGTTTGGTTTTCTTCTCTTCACTAAATTCATCATGTCCAAAAAGACAGAATGATTTGGATAGATTTCTTTAGCCAAATAAAAGACCTTTACTTAAAGACAAGATGCCCTTGAAAAGGAAAATATGCCTTTAAACTTATTACAGTTGCCAGGACTTTATATTTTATCACTGTGATTAAGACTTTGAGCTTTCATGTAAATCAGGCCCATTATCCTATTGAGAAACATAAATACTGGTTAAGAAATAGGGTAATAAGGCAAAGGCTAGAAAGCTCCATGTTTGCACAAAGAGCTTTCTAAAAGCTCTATGGAAAGTTGGATACTCTTATTACTTGATTGACTTTTGGGGCTTTTCTGTTTTGCTACAATTGTTTTCCCTCATGGCAGGATAAGGAATTTTTGTCTTTTGTTTCTCCCTTTATAGGGAAACAATTTTAAATAAATAAATAAAAGACTTGTACATGAAAGACATATATGTACAAGGAAGACTCCTACACATTGAAATAAGCAGTCCCAAAATAAAAATGATAAATGATTCTTTGAAATAACAGTTGATCACAACAGAGCGACTGGACAGACTCATTCGTGTAGTTAGACATTTGTATTCTCTTATTTTCTCCAACTCATGACTGTCTCATTTACAGAAACAACTACTGAACTCTCTTGTATAAGCAGGTTACTTATGTTGGGGATGGGATGCTTCTCAGAGAAATGACCACAGCTCCATCACAAAGTAGCAGTGCTATGGATAGGCATTCGTAGAAAAAAGCAGTGACAGGTTCACCAGGAATTTTTATTCTAAGGCTCTGGACCAACCCACCAGATACCTGGGCAGATGCGTATCAAGGGTGCTGCTGAATCGATCAGTGGCACCCAAGAAGCTTGGGTAAGCAGGCAGATTCTACATACCCTAAGCAGACCACTGTCGTTCTGGGAATGTAAGGTTCCAAAGACCCCCCCAGATAAAACTAGTGTCGTCATTTTAAAGAATTCCTTCATAAGTGTCAAGAACAACATCTCTTTACCTACCGTAATTCTACTGAGACCTACATTCCCAACCTGAAATTAGGTGACATGATTTATAAAGCAGATCCTTTTTAGTATCCTCACATATTTGATTTTAATATTTCATAACATGGAGTGACTTCAATATTTTAAACCAAAATTTAATATGATTAGTACTCCATGACAACACTTTCATTACTGTGAAATTCCCATATAAACATTTAGAGAAGTCTTTATCTTGTACTAACCTGTGATGTGCATGTAGTAAAACTTCATGACTTTGAATCGATTTATTTTTTAAATATTTTTTTCTTATATATTAAAGATAGACTACAGAACTGCAGGGACCACGCTGCAAGGACCCTGACAGAATTCCCATAAACAAGTTGTTTAGACAACATCTTATATTAAGCAGTAAGCCATACAAAGTCCACATTTGAACCTCTGGACTATGACAGTGTCTATTTCAGATTCTGGGTATCCCCAGACAACCAAAAACCTTACCTCACAGATTAAGAAAAAAATGTAACTGCAGAAACATTTCCTGGTTCCAAATTCAAGTCCTTACAAAGACCCCTCTACTGTAAGTCATAGGTTGTTCAGTGTGAATTTGAGTCACCTATACCTCAGACATTAATCAAATCATAATGAATGAGTTGAGGGATCTTGAGGTGTACAAAGATACTATCATGTGACCAGCCATTATCTAAATAAAAACAAAACATTCTAACCTGACAGTTCTGTGTCTTTCTGCTAAGTACATATTCCCAGCTAAAACTGGGACTGAGAGAAAATTAACTTGAATATAGAAAAGCAGGTATTAGGGACAAGAAGGAACTATGTTTCTAAATTACTCTGTACGCCTTTTGGCTAGCACCGTATTTCAAAGGGAATTGGGAAGAACTTTCTCCAAAGGCACTGTTTGTGAATATTGCTTTTATAGAAGATTGAACTACTTATTCAAAGAATGACATCCAAAAACATGTTTTCTTTACCACTTCATCCTCTTGTTAGGAAGTTTGAGCAACAAGAGACAAGAAAGATTCATCTTTGCACAGTGCACATTCACATGGGTTACGTTATTCTAGCCAAAGCAGTGGTGAAGAAACTTTAAAAAAAATCATAACAGCATGTCAAAATGTTTGGTGAAGTTTATATTGTAGTTACTGTAGAAAAATTCCAATTCAAACCTTAATAATCTAGCTTTGGGCATAAAATGAAATGCAGTAAACTACGGCATATGAGAAACATGAGAAGGGGACTATGGGATGCTGAAAATATTACAAACAGCCTTGCAAATAAAAGTTGCTCTCTCTTCACCTCAGTGCTTCAGAAAGAAAGAGGAAAAAGTGCAGGCTGATGGTATGGGGGCCTCTTTCCAGCTGCTCAGTTGAGGAACCACCATGGGGGTGCTCCATACACACTGCCAACCTTAATGAAATTGAGCAATCTTTGTGCTTCTAGGTCATTCCATTGGTGATATGGGTCCCTCTACCTTCATTGTACTCTGAGAGGTATTTGTCAATTGCCCCCTGTGATTTTTTTATCTTTTCTATATGTATACTTAGCAGTTAGATTCTAGACACCTCACGTTGTCTGCATTTTGCATGGTAAAGTCTGCTTATTTTTGTAGTAAGTGATTTTAGCATCCTTGAAAACGTAGTGAAACTATAAAATCTAAGCTCTTAAAATGGGGCAAGCATAGGGAAGGTAGATTCATATGCAGATGGCTTTGTTCAGAAAGGACATTTGATTCATGGAAATGTACTAAGCAGTAGCAGCAGTGGCCAAAGCGATATGTAAGGTGTTATAGGACCAGGTGAGAGGTCCCCAGGAAGCTCTGGTCCAGGAGGAGGTGCAAGGAACTAGCAAGCCCCTCAAGACTCATAAGAGGTAGAATCAGGATAGGAGGGTACAAGGAGAGAGTGATGCCCTGGCCCACTCTGAGGGTGAAGGTTGAGACAAGACCCCTGGGCCCAGTACACGGAAGTCCTGGGGCTAAAGCCAGGCGGTAAGGCGCTCAGAGCCAGAGACTTGTATGGCAAGAGTGAGAAGGGACATTTGGCAAAGTTTTCAGTGCTGGGATCAGAGAGGGACACACAGCTTGAAGCCAGTTTCAAGAGAACCAGCAGGGCAGGAGGGGCTTCAGTTCATTCAGGGTTTTGA